TAGACATTTCGGTTCGGTGTGTTCGGTATTCGATTTCTTAAAATGCTATACCAAATACTGTGACGACCCGACCCATCGTCTCATGAGAACCGCTCTGTTTCCCCCATTTCCTGCTTCGTTATGCTTCATTATCAGTGTCTTGTGTGAACGAGTTGAATTGGGTTGATTTTTGGAAGGAAATGAGACACTTAGTCTCTTTAAGGAAGGCTTGTTTTGGAAAAGTCAACCGGATGTTGACCTATGAGTTAGAGGGATCGGATGTGGATTCCGACGATTCGGTTAGCTTCGGGGGATGATTTGTGACTTAGGAGTGTGATCGGAAGTGATTTTGGAGGTCCGGTGTAGAATTAGGCTTGAATTGGCGAAGTTAGTATTTTGGCGAATTCCGGTTGATAGGTGAGATTTTGATCCGAGGATCGGAATAGAATTCCGAGAGTTGCTGTAGCTTTGTTAGGTGATTTGGGATGTGTGTGCAAAATTTCAGGTTATTCGGAGGTGATTTGGTTGGGTTTTTGATCAAATGCGTGTTTCGGAAGTTTTAGAAGAACTTAGGCTTGAATCCGATGTAAATTTGGTGTTTTGATGTTAGTTTTGGTGTTTTGAGAGTGCAACTAAGTTTGAATGATCATATGTGACGTGTTAGTATGTTCGTATGCGGTCCCGAGGAGCACGGGTGAGTTTCGGATAGGTTTGGGCTGCGTTGTGCTCGTTTTTTTTATGCTTCGACGTCGTTTCTTCAAGCATAAATGATATCATATTGAACGAATAAGCTCCGATTACTGTTTTGAATAAAGCATTAGATCCGTATCGTAATTACGGACCCGTAGCAAAAAGAATCGTCGAATTTGGACATCGTATGAGGATTTTATGGCCATTTTACCAAGGTTGCCTAGATTTTCAGATTAATGACGAAATTGCCCTGACGGCGTATTAAAAACCTGCACTATTTGCAAATCTTAAAACCTACATATCTCCTTCATTATAAGGTCAAATTGAGTGATTCAAAAGCCTAAATTCATTAGAATTTCACAAGGAATCATTGGGAGCAGTAAAACGCGTGAACAGTATACCTATAATGAGCAAGTCGAGTCTTCTTCCAATTTTTGAACGGGAAGAAGCTTTTGAGGCGATTTTTAAGAGACAAAATCAGTGGGTATCACAGAGGTAGTGATTTAATTATTAAAACTCGTTTATGGGTGATTATAGACCATAATCCCAGCCTTTAATTCATGAAAAACAGTAGAAAAATAGGATTTTGGGGCCTGAGATTATGAGACCTTTAGGGGTCGATTTGAGGGGTCAAACGGACTCCGATTTTGGTGTTCTTTATATGTACGGAATCGGGAGAAGATGAAGAACACTTTTTTGTAAAAATTTCTGAGTTTCGAGAAGTGGGCCCGGAGCTCGGGTTTTGTCAATTTCGGGATTATTGATGTTTTTCGATTATTTTCGATTGGGTATTGATCCTATAGCATAATGTGACGTATTCGTTGTGGTTTTGGTCAGATTCGACGCGCGAGGAGGTCGATTTGAGAGGCAAGGGCATAGCGAGCTAGGATTTTGGCCGGCTTGAGGTTAGTAATAGATGTAAATGATGTGTTGAGGGTTTGAAACCCCGAATTTGCACATTGTAGTGCTATGTTGAGGTGACTTGCACGCCGGATAACGGGCGTGGGGTAGAGCACCGTCGGGGATCGTGACTTGGTCCGTCCCGCTTAATAAAATTACTACCTAATTGATTGAAGCTTAGTTGATATCCTTATAAAAATGGATTAATTGTCATAATTTGGCCTCGTGCCAACTGATTGAATCCTTCAGGGATTGTTTTTACCGGTTTCTTACCATATTTACAGACAATTGAACTCAGTCCAAGTATTTAATACTATTTTGCAAACTCAGCCTTTTTTCTCAAAACTTGGAACTTAAATAATATTTCTAATGAAGTTTGGGCTGAATATTTTATATTATTGTGCCCGGGGGCTTATATGATTCTGGACTGAGTATGGGATCGGGCTGCGCGCCGCAGCAGTATTATATTGATATTGATATGAGGCTTAGGGCCTAATGGATGCCACGAGATGGCTTGATATTGCGCTTGGGCCGTAAGGGGCCCCTCCCGGAGTTGCACACCCCCAGTGAGCGCCGTCGACGATAAATAAATGGAGCGGGCTGCACGCCGCAGCGGGTACTAGAGAGTACCGTACTATTTGTTGCATGTTTTAATTGATTGTCATTCATTTACTTATCTGTTGCAGCATCATTGTTTTTCATTGGTTTATTGAGTTGACATTATCTGGATTAAACTGCTGTAATTATAGCTTACATTGTGCCTATCCAGGATTTCTTACTCTCAACCCTTATTTATGTTTACTACTCTCTGGGTTGGAAGTACTCACATTACTCCCTGCGCCTTGTGTGCAGATCTATGTGCACCCACTGAGGCTGAGTGAGGATTTCTTTGCCGAGCATCATATCTGGGAGCATCAAGGTAGCTACATGACATCCGCAGTCCCGATCTTCCCATCTAACCTATTTACTTTATTTTCGCATTTCTTTAGAGCAATATGTAGTAGGTTGACACTCGTGTATTAGAGGCTCAGACTTGTGACACCGGATTCTTCGGGCTGTGTAGTAGTATTTCTACTTGGGTTTTCCGCATGTTTTAATTATATTTCAGAGTTTCAGTATTATGACTTAGTAATTATTTGTGTTAATTGAATCATGAACTGTATAAAAAGGGTTAAGGTTGTTGAATTGGTCGGGTTTGCCTAGCAGTGTGTTGGGCGCCATCACGACCGGGGTTGGGGTCGTGACAAGTTGGTATCAGAGCCTAGGTTACTTGGTCTCGTGAGTCATGAGCCGGTTTAGTAAGTCTCGTGGATCGGTACGGAGACGTCTGTACTTATCCTCGAGAGGCTGCAGAACCTTTAGGAAAACTTCACATTCTTGAATTCTTATCGTGCGTCCTTGATTCAGCTTGAAAAGAAACTCTTGAAATTCCTTCCACGTGTTCGTACGCGCNTTTTACTCCCCCACGTTTCTCTCTCCACATCCCACCCCCTCTCCCACGTATCTTGCACAGAGAGCAGCAATTCCACCATTGACAACCATTGAAAAGCTTTGAAGCTTTGAATTCGAATTTGGGTTTTCAAAAAACATTATTTGTTTGAATTGGATGTTGTTGCAAAGAATTGAGAATTCTCTCTACGTCTCTCTCTATCTCTCAATCCCTAATTTCAGTAATGTAAAGCAAAGGAAAAAAGAGCAGCAATTCCACCATTGACAGCCATTAAAAAGCTTTGAAGCTTTGAATTCGAATTTGGGTTTTCAAAAATCATTATTTGTTTGGATTGGGTGTTGTTGCAAACAATTGAGAATATGGTTTGGAGTTTATATCTCAATTTTGAGGGGTTTTGGTGAAGATTAGACTTGGTTTTGACTGAATTTCAGATTGAAACTCGAAGAAGAAGAAGAAGAAGAAGAAGAAGAAGACATGATATACATTATACTGTAGAAATTGTAGTAAAATTGTAGAAAAATTATAGAAAAATTGTATTCTGTTGTTTATATATTTTTCTTTTATTTATTTAACTATTGTATGAAAGTTGAACAACATTGTATTAAAATTATATTTAAGCTGTATGATATTGTAGTTGTATATAACTGAGTAGAAATAATGTATGAAAATTGTAGATAAGTTGTAATATATAATTAGTTGTATGAAATTTATTTTTACTATGTATAAATCAGATACAAAATATACAAAAGACATATTGTATAAATTTTATATAAAATTTGTATTTAAGTTGTATGTTATTGTAGTTGTATTTAACTGGGTAGAAATAATGTGTGAAAGTTGTAGATAAATTGTAGATGAGTTGTAGATAAGGGTTAAAAATGCAACTATTAAAGTCTGTTTTTGGTATTGTAATTGGAAGTAATGATATAATTAAATTCACTTCTATGCAAGGAAACATGAAAAAATATTTTCCTAACAGGCTATGAATAAAGAAAAAGAAAAAAAAATGTGATACTATATCGGCATGTATCTTTGGGTACTTTGAAGTACACCCAAGATATTCCAACAAAGCAATGCTAATACACTTGACAAAGTTTAGTCAGTGAACACCTAAAGAACTGTTCATAATCCAATGACCCAAAACGGTATATTATTTATCAACACAAGGTGTACAGTTCCCATGAGGCAGGGGAAAGAGAGAGAACATGACCAAGGCCAAAATATATTAATTGAAAATATCCATTTAATTACCAGAAGAACTCATCTATTTATTTTGTAAAGTCGAAAAGACGGTAAACTTTAGAACTTTTTCCGCTCAGATCAATTTCAATAAGGGTTGAAAATGCAACTATCAAAATCTGTTTTTGGTATTGTAATTGGAAGTAATGATATAATTAAATTCACTTCAATGCAAGATCTATAGCTTTTGCTGAAGATACAGGGAGAAAGAGAGAATCTGGAGAGAAGGGGGGAGAGAGGAGAGGAAAAAAGTGTAAAGAACATAGGTTAACCCTAGTAGTTAACCTTAGTTAGCTTAACTTAACTATAGTATTAGTTAGTGTTAGTGATGTACAACTGTCCTAAGGTGGTTAGTTAGTTAAATATATTGTAGCTTCTTTTTCTTTCTAGTTGAGTCAGTTGTATCGATATACAGAGCACAACTCTTGACTGATTCTCTCTCGAAAATTCTCAATCTCAATTTCTCTCTTCATCTGCACATTGTTAAATTCTTCATGGTATCAGAGCATTGATCGAGTGATTCTAGGGAATTTCTTCGCAGAATTGAAGATAATTCGAGAGAATCTGCTCAAATTCAGAAGCTTTGAACCCTAATTTTGTGGTCTATCAATGGCGCCCTCCTGAGAACTCGACTGATAATGCGAACAATGGAGACAATACGAGCATCGGAACGATACCTAGCTCGATTGTGTTAGATCATAACCATCCTCTCTACTTGCATGCATCTGATGGTCCGGGATCGATGTCTGTGGGACTCATTTTGACAGGTATGGAAAATTACTCTCTTTGGAGTCATGCAATGAAAGTAGCATTGTTAGGAAAGAACAGACTGTGTTTAGTTGATGGATCAACATCGAAGGAGGATTTTGGTCCAAATCTAGGAAGTCAGTGGGTTAGGTGCAATGCGATTGTGACTTCATGGCTCATGAGCAATGTGAGCAGAGATTTGGTAATTGGAATGCTATTTTCTTCGAATGCACAGAAAGTATGGGTTGCTTTCAAGGAACGCTTTGACAAAATGAATGCATCGAGATTGTATTACTTGCACAAGGAAATATTCACCCTAACATAGGGGATTTCGTCAGTATCAATTTATTTCACCAAGCTAAAAGACCTTTGGGCAGAATATGATTCCATACTGCCACCTCCTACATCAGCCACTGAGTATATCGAACAATTGGAGTATCAACGACTGCTACAATTTTTGATGGGATTGAATGACAATTTTGAGCAAGCAAGGAGTCAGATTCTATTAATGCCAAGCTTGCCATCTATAGATAAGGCTTATGCTATGGTAGTTCAGGAAGAAAGCAGGAAATCATTTACTGGTGGTACCTATGGGAAAACTGGGCATAATTATCCTACTGCGTTGTTTACTACTCAACTACATCTAAGCCAAAGAGAAACTATAATTTAGAATGTGAATTTTGTCATATGAAAAGCCATACTAGAAATGAATGTTATAAATTGATGAGGTGTGAATTTTGTAATAAGATGGGGCACTTGAAGGAGAACTGTTACAAGATTATTGGTTATCCATCTGATTTCAAGCAGAAGAAGAAAATAATAAATGCAGTCATGATAGATGGATCTGGACAGCAAGGAGTGATAGCTTCACCAACCACAAGCATATATCAGCCAAGCAGTAATGTTGAACCAGCTCAGTTCTTTACTAAAGAACAATATAACCAGTTGTTGCAATTGCTGAACAAAGGCTCTACTGCAGGGACTAGTGCAAACATGGCAGGTAAGTGCTTTTGTGGTAATGTAGCCTTATGTGAGAACTTAGAACTTTGCAAATGGATAGCAGATACTGGTGCTACTAACCACATAACTGGTGATAAGAGTTTACTGAAAAATGAAACTTCAGCAGGAAATTCAGGACAAGTGCAATTACCTACTGGAGATTCAGCCTGGAGATTCAACATCAATCTCACATATGGGGGAGTGTCAACTCACAGGAGGTGATGTACTGAAAGATGTGTTATGTGTACCTGCTTTTAAGTTTAACCTCATGTCAGTCTCTAAAGTGATAGAAGACCTTAAATGCAGTGTTACCTTTTTCCCAAATGTTGTGTGCTCCAGGACCTCTTATCTGGGAGGGTGAAGGAGATTGGTAGAAGAGAAGAAGATCTGTACATACTGTCAACAACTTTAGGGAAGACTGTGAATAGAGCTTTTGCAGCTACTAGTAAAGAAGGAGGCTTGGAAATATGGCACAGAAGAACAAGACATGTTCCAATTCAAGTTCTCAGAAGGAGTCCTAGTATACAACACTGTGGTAGTAGAATAAATAATGGCTCACTGTCTAAGTGTGAAATTTGCCCTCTAGCTAGACAAACTAGAGCACCTTTTCCAACTAGTACTAGTAGAAGTTTATATGCTTTTGATTTGATCCATATGGATGTGTGGGGACCCTATAAGATTGCTACTCATAATGGAATGAAATACTTTCTTACATTGGTTGATGATTTTACCAGATGGACTTGGGTATTTCTTATGAGACTCAAATCTGATATTATTTTCTTACTCAAGAACTTTATTAGTATGATCAAAACACAGTTTGGGAAGCAAATTAAGATGTTTAGATCAGATAATGGGAGTGAGTTTTTTAACAGTGCATGTAATGACTTGTTTCAAATGCATGGGATTGTTCATCAAAGCTCCTGTCCATATACTCCCCAACAAAATGGAGTTGTGGAAAGGAGACATAGACATATACTGGAGACTGCTCGAGCAATCAGATTTCAAGGCCACTTACCTGTTAGATATTGGGGACATTGTATTGATGTTGTTGTATATATAATCAACAGAATTCCCTCTTCTGTCTTGGGACATAAGTCACCATATGAATTACTTCTGAATAAGCCACCTTCATTGACACATTTAAAGGTAGTTGGATGTTTATGTTTTGCTACTAATCTGACAGGTCATGATAAATTTGCTCCTCGAGCTGTGAGGTCAGTCTTCCTAGGATATGCTGCACATCAGAAAGGTTACAGACTTTTGGATTTGGAGAATAGAGTATTCTTTATAAGCAGAGATGTAGTGTTCTATGAGGATATATTTCCCTTCCACGCAGCAGAAGGATCATCAGAATCATTATTCCTGGATAAAATTCCAGTGCCAAGACAAGATTTTGATGAAGAACTGAAAGCAGTCAGTGCTGCTACTGATACACATATTGAAGGAACCAATATGCCATGCTCTCCTACTCTAACTCCAGTTATCTCAGATGAGCAGGACATTTCACACCCTGTTGAATATAACAGTATGGATAGTCCTGGTGATTCTCTTATTTTGCCTGATGATGGGGAACCTAGAAAATCCACAAGAGTATCTAAGCCTCCCATATGGTTTAAGGATTATGTTAGAGATGACAAGAGATGTTCTACAGGCTGCTGCAAGTACCCTATTTCAGAGGTGATTGGATATGAAGGTATCTCTTCAAAATATCAAAGCTACTTGGCAAATTTTTCAGTGGAAATGGAACTGTCACGACCCTTACCCAGACCCGGTCGTGATGGCGCCTCTCGTGAAGACAAGGCCAGCCGACACATATCCTATTCGACGTCAAACAACTACACAACAATAAGACATGCTAAAACATGATTTAATAATGCTAAACAGCAGATATTATCATAACAATGCGGAAGTACAACCCAAACACAGCCCGACATCGGGGTGTCACTAGTCAGGAGCATCTATTAGAGTAGAAATACAACTACAAGGTCTGACATATACAAAAACAGGACTGATAAACGAAAAGGGAGAAAAGCGATGCTGCGAATGCTGACAGCTACCTCGCTAAACTCCGATAACCCTGCCTCCAATCAGCCGAAAACCTGCTACCGGGTGTATAAATACCTGCATCTGCACACAAGGTGCAGGGAGTAAAGTGAGTACTCCAACTCAGTGAGTAATAAAGGTAAATAACAACTGAGCAGTAAGAAATCACGTAAGGCAAACCATCATGCTGTATAGAAGCAGTGTAAAACCCTTTGAGAAAAACAATGAAACTGTGAGATCTTTAGAAAATACCTTAGCTCAGTTTAACCTCTTTGCAAATGACTTTTTCAACAGTTACGCAATGATTTCAAAACAGTAGTGCCGATGAGCACAGAAAATCCTCCCCTCGGGCACAATTATCACAGTATAATAGGTAAAATGACAAGTAAATATGAAAGATGAACACATAAAGGTTCGCCCCTCGGGCAATATCTCAGAACAGTACCAGCCCCTCGGGCTCACTCTCAGAACACTCTCAGCCCCTCGGGTTCTCTCTCTCTCAGATCACTCTCAGAATAGTATCATATAGTAACTGCTGCGGCGTGCACCCCGATCCACATATCGCTGCGGCGTGCAGCCCGATCCATATATCGTCGACGACGCTCACTAGGGGTGTGCAGACTCCGGCAGGGGCCCCTTACGGCCCAACCGCAATATCAAGCCACCTCGTGGCATCATCTCCCCGCACTCGGCCTCACATCACTCGGCACTTGGCCTCACATCACTCAAGCCACCTCGTGGCATATAAATATATCTCAGGCCCTCGGTCTCATATCACTCAGCATGTCCTCACATATGGCCCTCGGCCTCACTCAGTCCGAAAATCCTCACAAGCCCCTCGAGCATTAGTAAAACAGTAGTTCTCAGCCCAAAACATCATTTAGAAATATCATTTAAGTTACAAATCTGAGTAAAAGTGGCCGAGTTGTAAAAACAGTAGATATCAACAGGACTGAGTTCAACTAATAATTCAAAACAGTGAGGAAATAGTGGTAAACATCCCCGAAGGGTTCAAATAGTTGGCACGAAGCCCAAATATGGCAATCAGCCCAAATCAATGATGACAACAAATAAGTTTCAGTCAAATACGCGGTAAAATCATCAATCGGGGCGGACGAAGTCACAATTGCCAACGGTGCTCTACCCCATGCTCGCTAAGGCATGCAAGTCACCTCAACATAGCACTACGATGTGCAATCCGGGGTTTCAAACCCTCAGAATATCATTTACAATCATTACTCACCTCGAACCGGCAAAATCTCTAGCTCGGAACGCCTTTGCCCCTCAAATCGGCCTCCACGCGCGTCGAATCTAACCACAATCAGAGTGAATACATCACAATATGCTGAGGGAACAAAGCCCAAGCGAAAACAATCAATAACGGGCACAAATCCCGAAATTACCAAAACACGAGCCCCGGGCCCACTTCTCGAAACTCAAAAATTTTCACATCAATAGATTCCTTATCTTCCCACGAGTTTATACATATCAAAAGTTCTTAAATCCGACCTCAAATGGTCCTTCAAATCCCAATTCAAAAGTCCAATTTCTCAAGCCCTAGTTCTTCAATTTTAGGCTTAATTTCCATGAATTTCTAGGTGGACTTCACAATAAAAATGAGTTTTAAGACCAAGATTCTTACCTCAAGTCGATTCCTCTTGAATCCCTCTTTAATCTCCACCAAGAAGCTCTCAAAATGGTCAACCATGGAGGAAAAAATGACCCAAAATCGCGGATGAAGTGTTTATAACTTTCTGCCGAGTTCCAGCAATTCCTTCATCGCGATCGCGACCAAGGTCACGCAATCGCGAAGCATTAAAATCCCAGGCTTCGAAAATGACCTATGCGAACGTGACCAAACAACCGCGAACGCGATGCTTCAACATCCACAACTACGCGAACTCGTCCCACTCCATGCGAACACGAAGAACAAACTCGCCTGGACTCCAAAGCCTCCTACGCGAACGCGTCCAAACACCTGCGAACGCGAAGCACAAAGAACTCACCCTCTGCGATCGCGAAGCCACTAATACGAACGCGAAGAACAATAACCTGGCCTGCCAAAATCCTTCTACGCGATCGCGAACTCACCTACGCAATCGCGATGACCAAAAATCCTCTGCACTGCTGCTGCAATTTCTGCAATTATTCCAAGACTCAAAACTTCCCGTTAGCCGTCCGAAATCACCCCGAGGCCCCCGGGACCTCAACCAAAAGTACCAACACATCCTAAAACCTCATTCAAACTTGTTCTAATCATCAAAACACCTCAAATAATACCAAAACCATCAATTCACATCGGATTCAAGCCTAAATTTTTTAAAAACTTCCGAAACACACTTTTGATCAAAAACCCAACCAAACCACCTCCGAATGACCTGAAATTTTACACACACATCCCAAATCACATAACGAAGCTACAGCAACTCTCGGAATTCCATTCCGACCCTCGGATCAAAATCTCACCTATCAACCGGAATTCGCCAAAATACTAACTTCGCCAATTCAGGCCTAATTCTACACCGGACCTCAAAAACCAATTCCGATCACGCTCCTAAGTCATAAATCACCCAACAAAGCTAACCAAATCATAAAAATTCCGATCCGAGCTCATATACAAACAAGTCA